TGGATATTCTACATCATCACTTCATTCCTAATGATTGCTCTCTCCATTGAAGCTATTCTACTAGATATCAGAGCAACACAGCACCACATTCGGTCTGGAGTCCATTTCAGTGATGAAGAAATGTGTCTATTTGTCCTCTTTTCCTTTTCAAATGTCCTCATGTTTATCTACCCATGCTTTCAAGCAGCAAGCATCACAAGAGCAAGGAAGAAATACATACGATACCTTATAAAGAAATACGCAAAAACGGATCAGAAAGAATTAGTAGATTCATACGTCAAGTACCTGCAGAGTCGTGAGTTTGGGTTCAGGTTATACATTGGTTGTATCCACATTCCATTTAATCTCAATGTAGCATACACTTCAATATTAATTGGAGCATTTGGTATTGTTCTGAGTGTGCTAACATCTGTTGCTACTTAAAGTTAATGTGTGGTCTATTTTTGTGTGACTTATGAGTGAATATGGCAAATACATTATTACCATTTCTATTTTCTTTTATATTGCTGACGTTTAGTTTTTTTGTAACTTAAAATAATGTTGATTTTTGCTAATTGTGTTTATTGCTAACTTTTTGCTGATTTATTTAATTTAATAATTTTTTTGATATACCTTTTATGATTATTGGTGATTGATTCCATCAGTGATGCAGTGAGTGGTTGTATCCAGTGATACTGTATTGGTACAGTACGTGAGAGACTGAGATGAAATTGAGACTGGAATGGTATCACGTCTTGTGAAGACTTCTTTAAGAAAGACTCCATTACATTGTTGAACCCATCAGGGAATGTAACTAAAAAAAGTAACAAACTAAAAATAGTAACAAGGAGTATCAGTTTAAAAATACTAAAAATTGATACTACCTTGACATAAATTTCATATACTTATTATCATTATTAATATTCTAACTTGGTATGTATATGTATGTAGGCCAATTCCCTCTAACGTGAGCAAATGATCTTTTCCTTCCATCATGATCTTCAGCTACATCAATATGATCACCTATATCATGTACTGTATCCAGTATACACTAGCAATATGAATTAAACCTTCACTGAACATGTTAGCAATGGCACCAGGTAACTCTAGAGGTTTGGAAGTACTAGTAAAAATAATTGATAATACAAAATAATAATAATTGATTGATTCCTGGGTACTTTTCTTTATATTTCTTAATTACTGGTGGAGTCTCTTCACTGCCTGAGCTGTCACTAGATGAAGAATAGCTAACCAAATGCAATGATCTACTGTCAGCCATCTTGTTCAGTTTTAATAACTATTAATAACCATAACACGTGAGAGCACGTGGTTAGATTAAAATACGGTCTGCTCTATTTACGAAGTAAACAAAGAAAATTCGGAATTTATTGTTTTGATGATATTCATATATAGGTGTGGTGTTAATCACGTGATCAATTGTGGGTGGAGGAGTGTTATTCCGGGCGAGGTCCTTCTCTCATTCCTTTTTTCCTTTTCTCTTTTCATCCATTCTCCCTCTCTATCGTCTGCAATACCTCTCTAAAGGGCCATTGTTTTTAAATGTTACACAAAGTAATGGATACTGCCTACTCCCTGTTGTCATAGTAACGTATTAGTAACTGTTGATGGAATGAATTAAACTGTTTACAAAATACAGAACATCAGCAATTTCAAGAAATATGCTCATTTCTGAAAATACCCAAGGCTATATAGCCCATGGTTTTTTCTAAAAAAATGGCTCCAAAATCACCCCCAATTTTTATTACATTTTCTGATACATATTGATGCCCTTATGCTGTGTAGAAAGTTTGAGCTGATTCCGACTTCAATTTTTTAAGTTACGGCCATTTTAAGAAAACGTCAAAATTCTGAAAAATACCCAAGGCTATAGTCCATGGTTTTTTCCAAAAAAAATGGCTCCGAAATCACCTCAAATTTTTATTACATTTTCTGATACATATTGATGCCCTTATGCTGTGTAGAAAGTTTGAGCTGATTCCAACTTCAATTTTTCAAGTTATGGCCATTTTAAAAAGTAGCAAAG